ATTCCACAAGCATTCATGTTGCGTAAAATAGCTGACCATAGATAATTAAGAATACAAACCCCTGATATGAACAATAAGCTAATAATACTTACCTAAACAAGACAAACAGTATTGTTTTAAGACTAACGACTACAGTCATTCAGGCATCGAAACATAACTTGCGGCACAACAAACCTTACTCCAGTGATATTATCCATTGACGGTCTACTTCAAAATAACCATGGCTTTTATTATGCTTTCCATTATTTAGGATACCAATCCAGTATTTAATGCAAGTCCGGCGTAATTCAGAAGAATTCACAGCTTAGTTCTGATTTTAATAAACATTACACAATGCTGTGATAAATTCATGGAATACATGAATGTGAACATGAATGTTATTTAGGCATACGATAGAATAAGTTGACGTGACAACGTTGACCATATTTCCATCTTCCAGTACATGCGGTGCAAATAATTGATGCGCATTGATTGTCCCTTATCTCAATGAGAAACGGTAAACTGATCTATAGCCAGTGATCAGTATGCCGGATGATTTAGCAAGAGCCGTGACACATCACTGGCCCTACCTATTTGTTTCTGTGTTCCATACATTAATCCTTCTTATACATTGTGGAGTATCAACTGGGTTAAGGTATTTTCATATTTTTATTGAACCGCCCCAAAATTGTACACCACGATAATTTCATTCGTTCTTGAAATTTGAACTTTTCTGTTATGCACTTTGTATTGTTCCGGTCTTATCGAAAGCAAAGAGTGGACATATCAGGTCTAGAGTCGTTTTCATTATCCCATACATGTTAATTAAAGCACTTCTTAATATGTAGTAGGATGATAATAATAATAATAATAATTTATTCTCAAATAACAGTTTGTTACATGAGGCATGCCAGTTTACAGGCAAGATCAAATTGTTACAAAATATACAATTTTCACTTTAGTAAATTACTCGGTTAGGTTGATATTTTATAAGATATGAATGTAGATGGTTTTAGTCAATATATGAGATGGGGTGCTTTATGAAGGTTGCGTTGCGACGTGCAACTGATGTTCGAGAATATATCCATGTGAAGTTGGGGGCTTCTAAAAAACAACTTTATATCCCTCTGGAATATCTAAGGCTTTAATGATGGTGCAGGATGAAGTCACCAGTTTTATATATGTTTTCGGTGGCATATCTCAAGGGGGCTGGAAAAGGGTGCAAGTAAAAGAAAGGATGAGAGGCAGAGTAGCCAATATTCATGAAGGAATGTTTAAGATATGATTACTCAGTCTAATTTTCTTTTATTAAGGTATTTGTTAAGCAAGAGCATTTTAATAGGTTAGAGAAAATAAGTGTAAACAAGGTATGAGTGGATAAACAACTGACAAATAGAGATGGTTCAGAAAGAAGCTGAAAGTCTGGGATTATGTGTAGTTTACCTTCTTCCACAAACCATCACATATGACTTGTTGAAAGTGGCCTCCTTATGGGGATGACAGATATGAGGAAGTGTCGTGATCGGACTACTCAACGTTATGTTAGTGTGACTCTGACCGCCCATCAGGTATTTACTTACCAGACTCTTGTGTCTCCCTTAAGTCAAAACTAAATAAGGATCTGTTTTCAAAGATATAAATGGATTAAGTCAGTCACATATAAAGAGTTGCTTGACTGTTTGCATAAAACAATCAGATATAAAAAGATGAACAATTATAAGTGATAAATGTTCCTTTCTACCTAAGTGTTTGGTAAACAGGACGGATTGGCAATGTTGAATAAAATAGACATGTTATAGACATCTTGGGCACTTAATATTTAAGTTATGGGGATTGCCATATTATATAAAATCACAACTAATAGTATCAATTTTGAAGTTTTAAGTAGTCAGAGCACCAACAATGTATTCTCCAAATCCACCTTCAGGTGACTTTACACATGAATACATAGTAGTGACGATCCTTGTTACTCCGATCTCCCAGTCACTAGCATTCACCATTTGATGCTATATTATATTTGAGTATGAATAACATCACAAAATAAGTTCATAATATTCAGTACCAATTGCTGTCCCTACTTGGCTCGAGGTCGAGGCATGCATTTTTCTCTTCCTAGGATTCTCGAGAAGGTTGGATTACTTTCTCCCATTATTAAGAAAGATAACTCCATCCTGAACTGTAAACTGTAAACACCATAAAATTTGGGGAACCATACGTATATGCTGATGATCTCAAAATAGCATAAAGCTATAAGCCTGAGACACTAAGCGAAAGTGTATCCTAGATCCAAAAGGACCTCAATAACTTAACTATCTGGAGTAAAAAATGGCAATTACCATTTAACCTCAACATGTGCGGGATCATGCACTTTGGAAAGCATCCCTATAAACCGCAACTTCACCTAAATAAAAGTAGAGTCCAAACATTCGAATCAATACATGATTTAGGAATTAATTACGCAAGAAGCCTGAACTTTGAAGAACATGCCTCCCTTATTATTTCTAAATCAAGACGGCTAGTTGGTTCTATAATGAGAGACTTTTTCACTACAGAGGCTAAGCTTACTCTCTACAAAATATGTGTACAGCCCTCCCTTGAATACTGTTCTTTTGTCTTCTCTAATATGAATATCACAGACAAGATAAGAGTAGAAGATGTTCAAAGGCGTTTCACACGTCAACTGCTAGGATGTAACTCGAATCTCGATTACATAGATAGATGTAAGCACCTCTCTTTAGAACCTTTATGGCACCGTAGGCTAAAGGAAAATTTAATATTTCTCTACAAAGCGATATATGGGCTCTCCTCTCTAACCTCCAGCCCGACTATGACTCACGACTCAGCCCATAAACTTAGAAACAACGCACATACACTACTTACCGTAAATCACCAAAAACAAATGCGTTGTACGTTTTTTACAGTAAGGTATAGTTTATTGTGGAACAGGCTGCCAATGCCTGTCCGTAACTGTGATAGGTTTACCAGATTCAAAAAGCTAATAACCCTATTTCTAGACTCTAAAGAGCTTCAACATTTCCTTGAACTCCCGCCCACCAATGAGGCACTTTATTACGGACCGCCTGGTATCTAGACAGAACAAGAATATAACGAGCCCGACTGTTACTAATATGAATATAACCAAATCACAGAATATATGGCTTATCCTTTCCTATTATTCATTGTTTATTAATCATGGCCTTATGCTCCTAACCCTAGCTTTCAGTTCTTAAATCTCTCTACAGATTAAATGTACATTATTCTTCCTAAAAGTCATGCTTTTTTCTACTGCAAGTAGACAGATAACTCAATCTTATGGATGCTGATCTACTAAGGCCGATCATACAAAGCTCAAAATCTGGCCACAAAGTCTTGTGAGTTTCTCAATGTTTTATATTTCTTACCCTGAAATCTTTTTTTCTACAATTTTATACCTTCTCATATCCTTTGTTTTGCCATTAGTACTTACTTCTTTAAATCATTAGTTATCTTCATAGCAGTGTGATATACTATGTGGACATCTAACCCATAAGACAAACTTTTTAACTATCTGATTTGCTTGTAACATGGACCTAGTAGGGACAGTGTATTCCAACTATGGGCTTTGATTAAAGCAGTATTCATACTTACCACAAACTTAAGGGAGCCTAACATTACAGAAGGAGGTGGGGTGGCGTTACTGACCAGCAAACATGATGGTGGGGAGATAACTTCAATCCACCCATGTCTGTAGAGCAGAACAATTTGTTTAATTACGGCTCCTTATGGTTTAGTGGGATGTCAAGAACTTAAGGTATTAATGCTGATTTATCATGCAAAATACCTCATTAAATCGTGTTGCGAACGTTGAATTAGTTTCACTTCCTACCCAGTAAGCAAACTAGACAATTCGCTAATATACGAAGCCTACTCAAGACCCTATGATAACTTAAAAAATTAATAATACAAAAAATGAAAGGGGCTCTAATAGCTTCGATAAAAAAAGGAAGATAGCCAATTGTATATCACAATACTGTTTTGAGCACTACATTTTATAACCACACGTAATCCCATACTCTCAGCTTCTTTCTGAATCGCATCCATTTGTCAGTTGTACGTCCACTCATACCTTGTTTACACTTATTTTCTCTAACCTATTAAAATGCTCTTGCTTAACAAATACCTTAATAAAAGAAAATTAGACTGAGTAATCATATCTTAAACATTCCTTCATGAATATTGGCTACTCTGCCTCTCATCCTTTCTTTTACTTGCACCCTTTTCCAGCCCCCTTGAGATATGCCACCGAAAACATATATAAAACCGGTGACTTCATCCTGCACCATCATTAAAGCCTTAGGTATTCCAAAGAGACATAAGGTTGCGATTTCAAGAAGCTCCCACCTTCAATGGATTTATCCTTGACCAACTATAACCGCTGTGTTTCCACACTGAATTTTCAAAATTTAAGGACAGTCATTACGGCAGTATTAACTTATATTTATTTAAGGACAAGAATGGACAATAGCGTGCACAGAACAACAGAAGCACCCTGGGCCTCGAAACCCACTACTCATTCTAACTAAACGTATTTCTATACCTTTTATTTTTTCTCATGTATGAGTAACTCAGGGAACATCATATATGAGTGCTAGCCTCGTCAAATGCATTGATACCTCCTTAAGAACTCCAACTACGTACTTTACCCGTAATGGGCCTAACATTATTATTTTCTTGGATAAGCTGGCTATCAGAGATATTTGTGGCCAATAGGACATGCACTCTTGTAAAGTGGAAAAAAGACCGGTTTCCAAGTTAATTTGGGAAATATAGCCTCCTTACCATACTATGCCTATTAACATCAAGTTAATCAAACAGTATAATAAACGAAGAATATTGACTCATGAGCGTTTAAATCTTACTGTCTACTATTATAGTGATATGAAATTTTAATCTTGGATTTGATGAAACCTCAGCCGAAATAAACTAGATTGAGTATTGAATAGTTTCCCTCAGGTTTCGAGTAACACGCTACGGTTTGCATAATGGCAGATGTCCTGTCACTCTTGCGAGAATATCATCTCAGTGGGAAGCCTATTGTTGAAACACAAAGTGAAGTCATATTTGGAGACTTTGCTTGGCCTAAGACTACTAAAACGAACTTCCTAGTATGGGGGTAACTGGGAGTGTTTTATGTTCAAGTCATTGGTTGCAGGTCGGGAAAGGAAGGTACTCCAAAAGACTATTATACGTTGGATTGTGTTGTGCATCTACTAAAGCATATTGATTTGCCCCATACTCAGTATGTGCGACAAGCAGCAGTAAGAAGTTTTCCCGTTTGGGCGGTAATAATTGTTTCCAGAGTGCTGGCCTTCCAGTCGTACGACTTCCAGATCGACGTGATCTTTTAGCTTACCTGAAGGGTGAAACGACTACTGCACCAAATATTGATAGAGCTGCACCAGTAGATATCTCTTTACGTCGGGCTGTAGCCAAGCATGTCGATAGTCATATGCATATCCGAAGAGGTGAGTTGTGTTCGATTTATTTTTCCTGAATAACCAAGGAAAGTAAATGTATAAAAATCTATCCGTTTCTGTCTGCTACTGTTAGGGTTTCAATCCTTTGGTTCGCTGATAGTTTTGGAAGGTTTTTGAGGTATGTATGTATGAAGAAACCACCCAAAAGTTAATATAACAGGTTTTGAGTCACATAAAAACAACGATAGTTTCATACTTCAGTCTACTGAATTAACTACAATGTTTCATAAAATCAGGACCGCTAGCTCAGCCAACATTCTACGCTAAAGTCAGTAACTAGTTGCAATGTGGAAAACGACTTTAGTTTCAGTTTGGAAAGGACAGGAGGCTTGATGGCCTGTGTTAGTCCTGGCAATGGTGGTCTCTCAGTTGACCCAACTTTCTTTTGAAAGAGTCGACGGGTGGAGCCTCAACCACGTGCTGAGGTAATGAGTTCCACTCGTTGATGATTCGATGGGAAAGTCGATAGTCAGCTGACAAGTAATTTGTTCTGGGCTTGTGAACTTTTTTGGAGTGTCCTCGTTAATTCTCTGTTTTCAGAGACAAAAAAGCTGTATACAAATTCAAAAACGTCTTAGCGTCGACATGACTAAAAACCCTACGTACTTACCATAAGGTTCTAAAACCTTTGGCGGCTATTGCACGGCGGTGTGCAGTAGTCTTTAGGTCTTGGCTAACGATGACTCCCAAGTCATTATATGTCTGGACGACATGTAGCTCAGTGTTATTCATCGTGTATTTATCTGTACCTTGATGACCGATATGCATCACGACACACTTTGAAGTATTTCTCGGCAACTGCCAGGTTTGAGACCATTCAGATAATTTCTTCAGGTCATTTTGGAGTTCTAAGCTATCACCCTTACATTGTATCGTTCTCCATATCTTGACATCGTCAGCTTATAGCAAGACTGACAAAAAACATCAAGTTTATGACTGACATATGAAATGAGTAACTGTCAACATAAGTAAAAGGTAAAAGAAAGATAAGAAAACGAGTGGGAGCCGAATTAGGAATGTCAAACAAAGTTTTCGAGATGTGGGAGAAAGATAAATGATTGGATGAATGTTAATTTTTTCAATCATGAATTACAGTTTCAATAATTGTTAAGTTTCGACTATTCCTGTTATTGTTTAGCCTAGTGTTTGAGCCTTATTCATGTAACTGGAGTGCTTATGGTTTGTTTGTGTAACTACTTATTACTTGAACTGGAATATTGCTCTCTTTTAAAACTCTAGATGCAAGTGATTTACTGGGTCCAGATGGTTTCAGTATCGATGCTGATTCCAAACGAATGCGACTCGCAAACAACGTTGATGGTCTGGACGAAAGTGTATTAGGTAGAGAGTCACAAGCTCGACTGAAATCCGCGGTACTTGATGATGAGGCGATAGCGCGTGATAAACGTGACTTAGCTGCTAAACTGGAGAGTTCTTTCGGCAACCGTTCCTCCAGTTTTATTCAACCTGACCAAGTTAAATCAAGCACATTACCCGAAGCCGTCCCATTAGACAAAATTCAGGTAAAATGTTTGTTTGTGAGGTTTTAATTACCGTATATCCTGTGGTTGGTATATATATATATATATATATATATATATATATATATATATATATATATATATATATATATATCATATAATTCTCTTATTCCAGTCTTGGCGGGCTAAATTTCGTGCAATTCAACAACAAAGAATCAAGACAGGTGATACAGACCAAGCAATGGAAGTTGCTGTAACGAATTATTCTGGTCAGGAAGGGGATGTCGGTTTATCAACTCTCTCATCCTTGGATGCTCGAGATTCTCGGGTTGGCCTTCATAGTATTGTACCCGGAGGTGAATCTCAGTCCATTATCCGTATTGACGATAGTACTCATGGTCAGTTATATTCCGGTAGCACTTTACTCAGAGCTTCACTTATGGCGGATGAAGCACCAGTACGCGCAATTGTAGCTCGTGAGCGTCGTTGGCGGACTCGTGTTTCAGTTTTGCAAAGTCAAGGCAAAACATTCTACGAAAACATCGTTTTGGGGATTTTGCGGAATGTAATTGTGAGTTATCTTTCAACTAAAGTACGACGTTTTGCATCAATATTTGTGGCAAATTCGCGTTCGATGGAGTATTTGCACTTTTCAGTTTATTCATTATTGGTTTACGTTGTTTAATATAATGTAGAAATAATATGATGTGATAAAAGTGGCGAGTATACCAGCAATTTTTAATTAGGGTATTAAAAAAGAGAATTAGAACAAATTTGTTAGTAGTATGATGGTTTTAAGTTCTATATTGTACCAAAAAGATAATATTGAATAAAGCCATTAATAATAATAATAGTTGTATTTCATCTTCTAGAGTATATCCAATCATATATTGATGGATTGGAAATTTACGTAGGGACTGAATTATCAGTTTTGGGACTGGATACAGAACCAAGTGCTCAAACGATCGGGCAGTTTTGATTGTATTGATCACAACGCATTTATGAGTTATCCAGGCGTAGTGCAGATTGAACTAGTTGTTGTTAGTCAATCTGGGTTCATTCGCACTTCAGAAAACATAAGTTGGCGAAAGGCAACTTTTGTCACTTTTGACGTAGGTGAGGTATCCTTCGTAGCAGCTATAGTCTCTATCTCATACAATTGCTGTGAAACAAAGCCCTTAAAGGTAAAGATATTAGTTGGTTACTAGTATTTGACCGTAAGTGTTTTTAAAACATTGTTCGTATATTTTGGGCTCACCGGGTGAATGATGTTGCCGTTAGGCATAAGGTACTGAGTAAAGATGGTAAGTCTGTTGAGGTAGTGAATGTTCTTCAACTGAGATGGTTGAGATATGTATTACGTCTACCCACATACCACCCTTCCCGATGGATGATATTTACTGGTGCAGTAGTAGGTTAGAAGAAAGGTAAAGGTTGTCAAACTTAACCATGTTAAGGTACTGCCTATACAGCTTAAGTATTTTGCGACACAACATCCAATGACTCCTTATTTATCTTCACTCGCTTAAATTACTTTTCATTTTTTAGGTGTTTCATCTCACTTTTATATTTCTTATAATTATAGTTAAAAGAAGACTCTCATGCTGCTCCCGATGCAAAAGCTGTTGGAAAGTTTGGTTTTATTTCTACTAATGCTCAACCAACTCTTTTTCCCCAACCATTGGCTGTTGGGACTTACTATTCTAAACCTAATGGCACCACAAATTATACGAACACTGGATCAGCTATGGCACTAAGTACTGGGCAACATATGTCGGTCTCCAACTCCACTGCTCAACATCACTCACAGATGCATTATTCAAGATATGATCAAGAGCGTTTTGCTGGTGGTCGTGAGGAGACTGCCGGTTTTCGTATTGATACTATGGGTACATATCATGGAAAGGCTTTGGCATCAATGGTTTCTGTTGGTACACCTAAATCTAATCAAGACAATTCTGTTGCTGGTGCAAACGCTGTCTGTACTCCAGGAACTATTTCTAGATCAATGGGAAATGAAACTCCAAGTATTCCTTATGAACCGCAACCACTTAGAGACCCTCGCGGTATCAGTTCTGGCATCCCCTTGACACCCAGTACGACTCCTGATCCATGTAAGTATATATCTGGAAAGAGAAGTAGTTTTATATAATATCTACCATTTCGTTTTTTTCTCAATCAATTTGGATGTGTGGACTTGAAGCTTAATATAACCTCCGTTTCACCTAATGAAGGCTCGGAAACTTTTATACTAATCCGAATTCCAAGTATCATGAAAGACTGTTATTCTAAAATTACCTTATCTTTCTCGCTAATCCCAGTGATCTAGAGATTAGGTGTTCGCACGGGAAACTTAAGGTTCTGTCTACTGTTTTTAGCTGCGGGGCCGAGGGTGCACATCACCAAGGAGTCCTATGCTCGGGCAAAACGACAGTTCATTGCTTCCAGGTTTTTAGTGGGTTGTCTAACATAAATTGGTTCGTGATCTCAATAAAATTTCAGTAAAATTCAAATGATTTTGTAACCAAAGTTAGCCCTTTCTTTTTTCCTAGGACCAAAAAATTTCACTTAAATAAATATCCTTCAAATATTATGCATTCAAAGTTTATGAGAATAATTCACTGTATACTAGGTAGTTCAAACAGAAATGGTTGTGTTCTTCTGATGTTTTGTGGTTAAAATTATTAACCTCCACAATCTTTTTTTACATGGGAGCCAACTGTAGCTGTTGAATTAACTTACCTTAGCTTTTGAGCAGCTATTTTTTCCGTTAGTAGTTCGACTGTACAGTGTTATCCAACTGTATTTATTGATCATATATATTAATATATATGCACATTCAATTTTTACAGATCGTGGCTTACGTTCCACCGCTGATGCACGCCTTTCTGCTAGAACGAAAATGAGATCATCTCGTATCCCAATTATCATTATTCCTGCAGCACCAACCAGTTTGATTACAATGTATAATGCTAGGGATATTTTAGAGGTTAGTACACATTTTCCAATGTTTTCATTACAAATCAGATAAATTATTACTGTTTGTAGTAGATATTTCAATCAATCTGAATTTCAAACTAATGAAGCAAACATAGACAGTCCACCAAGATTTTCAAATAAGACTAGTTCATCACTTAAAAATTAGTATAATGTGTTTGTCACGTTACTTATTTTTCTATTCTTCCTATAGCCAACACAAGACTAAAACATACAAACTCATGAAGCAGTCAATCTGACGGATATCAAGCTTAAAAACATTTAATTTAAGGTTGTTATCTGCATTGTATTTCAATTATATCCAAAACACCACAAACCTTAATTGCCAGTTATATATATAAAGCGAGGAAAACAAGATTTGCAGAATAGCAGGTATTCATTCTATTTTAAGGCTTCTCACCAGTTGCAAACTCCATGAGTTTACATTGGTAATATTATGATAAAAGCATTCTATTACGTATCGTAATCAATGACGTTTTGTTCGAAACGACATGAGATAGAAGAAAACAACATATTCAACATAATAGTTAAGATTAGTTAGTATTTATGTGTTGAAGATAAAATCATAAAAAGATAAGGGTGAAATTATAACCGATAACAAAAAAGATAATAAAAACAAATTGTTGATTAATGGGTGATAACCAAAGTGCCTATTTGATATAAACTTCAAGTTTACATCATAAGTGAGTGTCAGTGGAGCTGCTACCTTGACGCGGTAGTCGGGCTTGCCTATCGTGATGACCCAACCGAGCTATATTGGCTGGAACATATGTTCCTGCAGGTTCTACCATGCCAGGCAGGTCGATTGGTGAACGGTAAGACTAAAAGCAGCAACTCAAGGTCTGAGGGCGAAGTCGTACTGCTGACTGTACAGAGGTGTGACAGCAGTAAGGTGTTTCCCTCGGACAACCAGCATGACAGCGATGCTGCCTTCCCACAAGGAGGGGTGGGGTTAGAAAAGGTCGACCCTAAAAATGCACACCTCACCTTACCTCACGGATTTCCGTCTCCGGCGGTAAGGCCCTTTGAGGAACGGAGCTAACACGTCAAAAACCTTCCACAGAAAGGCCGTGCGCGACCGGCCTCAAGTAGTTGTTCCTTGGGCTCTGCGGTCACGCTCCCAGGTCGTTAAGACCAACACTAATCCAATTTCCTTTTCAGGTTCCTCAAGAAATACCCTTCCACGGTGTGGGCAGCCGGGAAGTGACATCAGCCCTCATACCCGTAACAGCACACGAGACCAAGTTGGTCACATTCAAATCCTTTCTACACCTCCTAATACCTCTCTTATCTCCATGACCAACCCTCCTCACGTCTCTTTATCTCCTCGCACCGCTAGGGCAAACGATTCGAGTACGTGGAACGCTATTCCTGGTCTCCTGAAACCACGCTCTAAACTACACGTAGGAGCTTTTAACGTACGAACACTGTGCCAAATAGGACAGCAGGCTTCTTTAGCTAAAACTTTAGAATCTCGCGCCATCGATGTGTGCTGCGTCTCCGAAACGCGCATACAGGATCCAAGCAGCGTCATTCATTTGACCTCACCATGCCAAAATAAAGGACCGACTCGATTTACGCTTCGTGTATCTGGGAGCCCTGATTCTGCTTCCCGTGGCCTCGCCGGCGTAGGTATAGCATTGAGTCCTAGGGCAGAACTAGCTCTCTTAGAGTGGATCCCAGTAGACAGTCGTTTGTGCGCTGTCCGACTGAACGGAACAGTAAGAATCCGGAAAGATAGGGACACTCGTCGTTGCCTCTTCGTCGTCTCTGCCTATTCTCCCACTGACTGCAGCTCAGATGATGTAAAAGATGAGTTTTACAGAAAGCTATCGGACCTTCTCCGAAAAGCTAAGCGCTCGGATGTAGTAATAGTGGCCGGTGACTTTAACGCTCAAGTAGGTAAACTAAGCGATAGGGAAAGACACCTAGGTGGATCTTATGGTGTCGTGGCTCAAAGAACAGATAATGGCGACCGTCTGTTGCAGCTATGCTCAGATAACCGCCTGTTCCTTGCAAATACTAACTTTAAGCATAAGGAAAAACATCTTTTAACATGGCGACCTCCTAATTCGTCCCAACGTTGGACCCAAATAGATCACATCGCTATCAGCCACCGATGGAGGGGCTCGATAGAAGACTGTCGCTCATTCTGGAGCACATGCCTAGATTCAGATCATGCTCTAGTGCGAGCGCGTATTTGATTACGTCTTACTGGACGTAAGAAAGACGCTGCAAGGAAACCTCTTAGGGTTCTGTTTAATGATAGTCAAACTAAGAGTATATTTCAGGAACATCTAGGAAAACAGTTAGGCAGCCATGTATGTGATGCCCACCCCGAGGCAGCATGGAATGATATCCGAAAAGCTGTGGAAACAGCAGTGATATCTGCTAGTAAGGTAAACCGTAAGGTTAGGGAGCGACACTGGATCTCAGCAGCATCTATCGCACTGATAGATGCTCGGAAACTCATTCCACCTGACTCTGAACATAATGAGGAGCGGAGTCAGCTTAAGCGCAAGCTGACAAGAAGTCTACGCAATGATCGCGAACAGTGGTGGGTAGCGAAAGCAAGAGAGATGGAAAAGGCAGCGGCAATAGGTAATAGCAGACAATTGTTCAGACTCGTTAAGGAAACCGGAATTAGGAACCCGACCGTTAGCGAAACAATCTCAGAGAAAGATGGACATATTATTCATTCTCAATCCAGGAGATTAGATCGATGGGCAGAGCACTTTAGGGATCAGTTCAACTGGACCTCAGCCACACTTCGGTTTCCCACGATCTCTAGTCAACCTGAATGGCAAGTTAATTTAGGTCCTCCAACTCTTTACGAAGTTGAAAAAGCCATAGGAAATCTGAAGCGAGGGAGAGCAGCAGGCCCTGACAGATTCACTCCTGAGATTTTTAAGGATGGTGGTCCAGTATTAGTAGTGAGATTAACTGAGATCTTAGGTAGAATGTGGGAACTGGACGTAATCCCATCTGACTGGTCTCAATCACTGATTGTGCCAGTGTATAAGAAAGGACAAAAGTCCTCTTGTGACAATCACAGAGGAATCAGTTTGACTAATATAGTGTCTAAAATATTAGCTTCAATAATACTTCGACGCCTAATCAAAGCTCGTGAAGAGGAGACTAGAGAAAACCAGGCTGGTTTTCGACCTGGACGTGGTTGTATAGACCAGGTTCTATGGCAGTGTTTGTCACCGAAAGGAGTACCAAAGAAGTACATTAACCTTATAAAGGCTCTCTACTCGAACACAACTGGTAGAGTGAGAGCTTATGGCGAACTGTCATCAGAATTGATTACCTCAAGTGGTGTTCGTCAGGGCTGTCCACTCTCCCCATTCGTGTTCAACTTTGTGGTCGACGTACTTTTATAGATAACACTCACTTCATCTAAATTTCCAGGGGTTGAACTTCTACCGGGAGGTTCACTTGTTGACTTAGAATATGCAGATGACATAGTTTTATTTGGTGAAGACGCTGACAAAATACAGAGTCTTCTGACCACTCTAAGCAACAATGCAAGCATGTTCGGGATGCGATTCTCTCCCTCGAAATGCAAAATGTTGCTTCAGGATTGGGTTACATCGACACCCGAACTAGTGATAGGGAGTGAAGTAGTTGAGTGTGTCGACCGCTTCACTTATCTTGGAAGTCTCATCAGCCCTTGTGGTTTAGTGTGTGACGAAATCTCAGCACGGATACAGAAGGCTCGATTAGCCTTTGCCAACTTGCGTCATTCATGGCGTAGGCGAGATATCCGTCTATCAACCAAAGGACGTGTTTACTGCTCAGCAGTTCGTTCCGTCCTACTTTATGTCAGTGAAACATGGCCGGTAAGAGTAGAGGATATTCGTAGGTTACTAGTATTCGATCATAGGTGTCTTCGAAACATTGCTCGTATATCATGGGACCATCGAGTAGGTAACACAATTGTTAGGAGACGGGTACTAGGTAAGGATGGCAAATCAATTGATGAAGTAGTGAAACTTCATCAGTTGAGATGGCTGGGACACGTGTTACGTATGCCCAACTACCGACTACCTCGACGTGCTATGTTCAGTGGTATAGGAGTAGGTTGGAAGAAAGCTAGGGGCGGCCAGACCAAAACATGGCACAAATCCATGAAGTCAGTGACAAGTGAACTGAGTCATGTTGGTAGGTGTAGACTACCTGGTTGGGGACCGCGAGATGATAGCAACCGATGGTTAGAGACCCTGAATGACATGGCTCAAAATCGTTTGCAATGGTGCAGGTGGATCCACTCTTTGTGTTCTCCCAAATTCTAATCTTCTGAGTTCTTCATGTCCCTTTTTTCTCTTTCCAAATTTATTTCACTGTATTGTACTCTTTAAATAACATCTCCAAACCCTAATCTTCCCGATTACTGCTTATACTCTTGTTACCTCTACCACTACGGGATTTGAATCGACAACTGCATCTCTGTGCTAATGTGGTGTGGCAACTCGAACTGACGCACGTACGTACGAAGTTCTACGTTGTTACTGACTGAAAATAATAACTATTTTATCATAGCAATGAGAAGTCTACCACACTTCTATATAAAATCGTCAGGTCGAAAGTGCTTGATAGCATTGGCCTTCGCTATGCGGAATAAAATTGGTGTTTGCTGCTTGTTAATTATTTTAAACACTTATGTGATATCCACGTCGTATCGACTATCCATTAAATATTTAGTGATTGCACTTGTGAATACTTTACTTCCTTTCAGATAACTTACGAGAAATATGTTCGGTAAACCTTTTAGATGTCCTTCTTTCGGTAATTACGTCCATAAGTACATGTAAATTCGTAAATACTTTTGAAGGTGACTTCAAAAGGTTATTAATTCACTTTTGACTGGTTTAAGAAAGATCTGGCGTTATACACCGGGAATAGTTGGGTTTCAAGAAAGCTTTTCTTTAGCTCTGCTTAATCCTTTTTCAATCCTGCCTAAAATCTCACCCTTGAATTCAAAATGGATGAAGACATTTTTCCTTAAAGTTGTGTCTTCCAGGCTCCCTGTAATCGTATTTTTGTACTTAATATAAATAAGTTTGTTTTTATATCCAGTTTTGCAAGAAACTTCGATATATACTGTTTATTCCTGTTTTTGCCCCCTGACATACAGTCTGGCTCTATTAAGTATGGTTTTGACTAAACAACTTTGCATATATAGCAAACCTGAGGTAACCAGACTGAATCCTACCCTGGGTCTTGATGTATCGATCAAATACTCAATATTCGACAAGTTCTGAAACACTACAAGAAGATTTCAAACTGGATTCATTGTCTTTGATCTGAAGATGGTATTTGGTTTCGTCTACCAGTGAGGTTTTGTGTGTTACTGAAAGGTGTACCAAAGTATATGTACCTGCTGAAATCTTTTTTACTCGTATACATTTAATTGGTATTTTTATTATCGAGGTAGTGCGATTAACTGGTGATTTCCCGGTAACAATTATAATTTTATATTTAATCTTTTTTTCTCAGGATTTACGGTTCATTAAATCCCAAGAGAAACAAGCATCCGGTATGCGTCGAGAAAACGAGATACTTATTCAGCGTCATAAATCTGATGGTCGAACAGTGCCTTATCGTGTGGTTGATCAACCAAACAAATTACTCTTAGATGAATGGAATCGTGTTGTAGCTGTTTTTGTCCAAGGTCAAGCTTGGCAATTTAAAGGTTGGCCAATCAGCTCCGATCCAGCAGTAATTTTTTCTCAAAGTAAGAATTTTAATGTTGATCTGTCTAAATTTGCATTGGTAGTTTCATTCATTTTTACAGGAGCTCTTATACTGATTTAACTTGTCGTATCATTAAAATAAAAGGTAATGAGCGGTTTACTGTGTCAAGTATTAAACTTCCTCTATTTCATTGTAAGTTTTTTCCCTATGATTACTAAGCTTAGCTGCCTAACTATTGAAACTTTCAGCATGAACCCCTTTAGATCGATTCCGTGGTCTACTGATTCTTACATAATCTATTTGAGATTCGATCTCGCTTTGCACTATAGTAATTAACTGTCGGGTCATCAATTTTTGTTTCATTCTGTCCGTATACTTGCTACAAGTTAACTGTGAACTAAATGTTACAGATCAGAAAGTTCTTAATATCCCATATTTCTTCAGTATTCAAATTATTCACTTAAGGAAACATTTGTTACTGTACAAATAAGCTATTTACACTACATTTATGCCTTTTACATTCTCTCCTCATACTTTTATCATATTATGAAATATCCTTGCCCTTTAGTTTCCAACTACTGGAATCTAACACAGCTTCAATGACCAATAGTGTGTTAACGATGCTCAGTCCATAAATACAATTTTTACTAGGAAGAAATTAAGTATATATTGGTGTTAAACATGGTTTTTATTCATTTGACTTTGATATCCAACTGTATTAATTCTATGTAGTAACTGTTCAGTTTGTCAATTTCATAATTGATTAAAGTCTATATGTAATGGAATAAATTCATATTTGTACTAAACTGGGATTTCCTATCGATGATAGCTCTAGAGAAGCTTGGACTTTTGTTTCTAGTTAGTGGGCAAGAAAAAAGAGAGTAGGATACAGTATCGTTCACTGATAGTGAAATCGGAGTTAGAAATTATTCTCTAAGCGCACAGACGTATCGTAGTGATTTGTTACAGGAATCTGTTATACTTTTTGCGTTATTAGTTGTTAGAGTATCATGTTGCTTACTATTACCGAACTAAATTAGACATCTCCGATTGTATAAAATCTTGAATCAGGGATGCAATCCTAAAGTAATCACGTGTCCCTTTCTCCACACTACTACTACTATTACAAGTTTTACAGTCGAGTGTTGATTGATTCTTGTAATGTTTTTCCTGTTTTCTAAAGTCAAGGGTTTTCATTTGAAGTACACTAATATGCCATTGGATCCAAATGTAGCCAAATGGAATGTACGTGTTATTGATCTGGATCAAAGGAGACATCTAGACAAGGCAAATTTCCAACAAATTTGGGACCAATTAGATAAGCATATTGCCAGAAATAAGCCATTTTTACGGTCTTAGGAAAATAAATGAAAATTACCCTTTTGTACAAAAGAAATTCATTTGTTTTATTTTTGATTTGAATTGTAAAATAAATTGTGCATAGTGATGTTAACAAACGATTTTTTTAACTGCACGCTTTATGTCGGTATTTCCTCGAAAAAAAAAGACAATTTTCTCAATAGCGTACACTTGCAAGCTCCGTCTAATGTATGGTTGTAAGAATAGTGGTTGGAAATCGATTATGTGAACAATAGTTAAAAAGTATGTTAGGTCACTGGTTCCATTTGAGCATCATTCGTATTGTCGGAAAAAAGTGTTTGAATGCTTTGATTTTTTAAATTGGTCATTTCTGTAACTTGAAACTAACTACAAGTCCCTTCAAAATATAAATAGTTATTGTTCAAAACTAATAAATTGATTGTTCCATCACTATGATCTCACTGAATGTACGTAAGAATCGTCGTGGTACGGGTCTGTTTTACCAGTTGTTGTCGTCTCGTTAACTGGGCCCAACAAGCAGCTAATTTATAAGTTACTGCGCTTCCTTCAGGCCGTGATTATTTCGATGGTGTTTTAACTTATCATACACTACAACAGTCACGTTACTGCAGACTAACATTGTATTGCTTGACAACAGACATAACAGCACTAGATTATTCTGTTAGAGAAGAATTTCTCCAGCATTTTTGTTTACAGCTGAGGATTCCTATGCAAAACACTTCGAGAAGACTAATGGCCTACAGCTACTCTCCAAAGCGCAAAACCAACATTAGGTTTGTGTAAGCTTGATTTATCTCTATATTCTACGTTGAGATTATTAGCACCTTTTAAATGATTATTGGTAGTGTAGATCTGTTAAACTAAGGAAAACGCTTCGGCTTCATATATTCATACCATGTTACAGTATGATGGCACATAGAATACTCAAACAGGACCTAATGAGCTAACGACCAGCTTTCCTGAGTAAAGTATGTCTTTTGTACCTTGAAAACGCAAAATTTTTCTATGAAACTGATAAGAACATGTTTCTGTGTTTATTTTTCGTGATAAGCTGGTGAAAATAGAACGTTCATCGACTTAGCTCAATGAGCGATGGTGAGTCATATATGAAGAATTTCCAAGTAGCAAAATAAATGATGGGATTTTCCTACCAGCCGTTTGTGTAGTCAGTAAAGAAAGTTAAGTAGTGCGTATGTAGTGTGAAAAGCCACCATTTAGCTAAGTAGGACTCGTAATGACTCCTACAATCAAAATATTAAACTGCCATCGACCAGACTACTGCTCTGGTGAAAAGGATTGTTAGCTGTTACTTACAAAAGTCACATACAATTGGTTTGCTTTATAAACTTGGACTTATTAACCTACTAAAAGCTGTCTTTGTAATATCTATATATTCTGTAGTCAAGTGTGTTATATTACTATTTATCGCTGAATAATATGATTTTGTTCTGAATTACAAGTCCAAACTAAGTATTAGCGAAATACTACTACTAAATTATTTGAGAACATGTGTAGTAGTGATAACACTGAAAAAATATGTGTTTTATGGCACGTCAGTTTAGTTACCATTGCTTGAGACATGATTTTGTCAGCTAATCGTAATCCTAATAACCTTGGATAGATTGTTAAATGAACACTTGTATGTATAATGACTAATCTCGAGAACTAGACACTAATCAGTGAGAATGCAATCACAGGATCTATTATCAGGATTATAGCATTGACAACTGAGTAGGTATGTTTTTAAGTGTCAATTGGAATGGACAACCAAGAATCATCAAACGAAGCAGTTTTGTTTCACAGTTGAATTTCAACATCCTAAAACGGAATTTGTCATATCCAACTATCGGTCAAGGCAATAGTTTAACCAAAAATTAAAATGAGACTAATCAATTGACAATTTATCAAATTCCATCAACGAACCATCATTAGAATACCCAGCAAATTCGTTAGTTTCACGTTTGAAAATCTTGAGAAAATCCACATACCACCTTAACGAGTCAGCAATACTGTCACTTAGTTCTGCGTACAGCAAAGCTGTAGTTCACATCCAGTTTTTTTCTCTCTTGCTTTGACTTACACTACTTGACATCACATTAAGAATATAACGGTAAATATGAGGGTAACGACGAGATCGAACAAAAAAATCCGAAAACCACGCTATAGTCGCGATTAATATTGAAAAAAGAAAGACAGATATTTTTTTAAAAAACGACTAGTATTGTTAGGTGGTAGTATTAGTAGGGCTATCATCATCAATAAAATTAACAATCAGCATCAGTACGAGTTAAAAGTGCAAGAATTCAACAAGATGTAATAAGTTTTTTTTTACACAATGGATGCTCATTTTTTAATGAGCAGCATCGTTTCATATTTATAAGGCACAATTAACAGTGGTACGAACAAGAGACTTCGACTTTTCACAATTAAAAGTTAACACAATTAGAAAAAAAGAAAATAGGTAAAAAATACAAAATAAAAATATTAGGTGTAAACTGAAATAAAGACAAACAATTCAACAATACTACTACTGTTTGTAGTAGTAATAATAGTGATACAGTGTGGCAACAGGAGGCAGCAGTGATAAGATTTATTATAATCATATTAAAAATTACAATAAATGAAAGCAATCAGTACATACGTCAATCTTATGGAAAAACAAATAGAAAAGAACAATACGGAAGACAATGAACAAATAACGAATGTATTAAGCTGACAAATTGTAAATAACATACGAACAAAGAGTATTATCTAATTTTGTTTAAAAATGGTATGATTCACCTACACATGTATACATACTTTAAATTAAAAAGAAAACAAATGTATGCGATGTTGATGAAGAGTAAAACAGCAGTATAGTTTGAAATAATGACTGGAAAATTGAAAAAAAAATAGGATAGTGAATATAATTAAAGAACATAAAACAGTGTACACAACATCACAGCTTGTTCCCCTAAAATTATTACTAAATTTATGCTCATTTTTTGAATATGATACGGAGAAAGAGAAAGTATGGCCGAATACAAATACAGTTATGCTCATTGCTCACTGTACAGAAAATTTCTACATACATACAAATAAAATGAAACGAGGAAAAAAAAATTCAAACTATAATAGGAACAATATGTGAATCCATGTACGTGAAACGTATTAATTAATTGTTTTTATTTCTTTCTAAATAAGGCCTTGATATAATTTATTTTGTTTCCAGTAAAATGTATAAAAAAAAAGAAGGGAAGTAAAAATTAGCAGCATAAAAATAATTCATTGTCATCATCTCTCACTACTATTATTAGTAGTTGTGGTAACTGTAATACTAACAATACAATGTATTAAAAAATTCAACTGAATAATTGTGTATGCGCATTTGTAAGAACAGGCAATAGTGTGACCAGTTATCATTATTTTTTAAAAAAATTTGAGATCTTATAATGACTTGTGCAATTGAGTATGGTAAGAAAGAGGAACATACAGGAAGAAAGCACATTTTAATTGGACAAAAACAAGGTCTTTTTTAAATGAAAGGTAATAGGAATGAATGGAATTTTCATTTTTGAGAATACAGTAATAATAATGATAATAAAATATATAAATCAATAATAAATAACGACTAGGCGTCAATAATTAATTGTATTAATCAGCTGTTATCTTCTTCTACTGCACATGATTCAGTTACACTATTACTATTTGTATCTGGATCAGTGTTATTATTACTGTTCCCATCATTGTCAATATCATCACCATCATCGTTAGGTAGTACAGTACTACTCAACTGGCTGTAACGTACATGATTATGTGTATTTGCAGTATTCAATGTACATGTTGGTGTTGTTGTGGCAGTGATGCTGGTCGGCGGTGTGTCTACTAAATCATCTATACTTAGTCGATATACACGTCCACTATGTAATTTACCATTTGAACAATTCGATGATTTATAAGATGGAACATAGAAATGATTACTACCACCATTACTAACAGTAGTAATACAATCCTCAGTTAGTTCAATATCATTAATCTTTTTATCAATATATCCTATATTTATATTATTGTCTTTAATACGTTTACATTTTAGTGAAATCTGTTCTGCTTGTGGATCATCATCATCGTCCTCACCTTCGCTTTCACTATCTTCTACTTTATTTCTTTCCAATATTGTTGGACTATTAAAATATTGATCATGATAATAATTGTGATTAGTTAAAGAAGCCATTTGTCGAGCCTTACGCTTTTTGGTAACAGATGTTACAATTTCTTTTGTTCGTTTGTTCGATTCATGATAATGTTGTTTACAACAACAAGAATACATTTGATTGTTTCCACGATGACGACGGCGACGTGCTGTTATAAAATGAGCTACGATGAATATAATTAACAGTATAATAAATATAATACATCCAATCAATAGAATAAGACGATATGGTTGTTTACTGAACAATTCCAATAAGGATTGGTCATTATTATCGACATCTATTATGTAGCCACTTTCTCCAGCTCCAATTTCGTCACCACTTAAACAGATAGCTAGTTAGATTAAATGAAAGAAGAAAAAGTGGAGTATATATATATAATAGCAACAAAAATGGTTGCCGTAAAGAACTAGTAATCAGGGAAGTTTGGATTTTATTTTAAAGAACACTTTGATACATTTGATGGTTCTCTGAATCATATCACGCACGCTCATTGGGTAATTAACTTTTTCAGGCTGTCCGCAACACGACTAAGTGTTTCTTGTAATTTACATTACATAGAATATCACATTCATTGTATGGTTGCATGACAGAAGTGCTTATCAGTTTTAATGATCATCAGAACTAGATATGGGCAATTTTTACTTAACTCTTAATACAAAGAAATCTATCGACCTTTCTGTTGTGAATCTCGCGAGAAGACTTGTGATCTTAAATCCGATTTTCCGTCAGCACAGTACACTTTTACCGGTGTCACTTACATTTTACAAATTGATTGGGAATGCGTAGATACACAGCGATTTCCTTTAGTTATCCCTTATATTTAAACTA